GAGATCTCAGCAATCCAAAAAAAAACAAAGGACAGCATTCAATTTGTCACTTTGTCAGAAGACCACAGATTCATCAGACTGCAACTCTGCTGTTCAGGGCTCTTATACACATCTAGATGTGTATAAGAGACAGATCATGCACAGTTATACATCAAAATCTTTTCTCTCTCTCTCTCTCTCTCTCTCTCTCAATTAATTCAGTTGTGTGCGCAGTATCTCTCTCTCTCTCTCTCTCTCTCTCTCTCTCTCTCTCTCTCTCTCTCTCTCTCTCTCTCTCACTCACTCACTCACTCAATGAATTCAGTTGTGTGCGCAGTGTGCGGTCTCAGCGAAATGACTCGGTCTCAGCAGTGGGAGGGTATGGTCTCGACAGTGGAGAAATACTGCTGATGTAAATGTGCTACCGAATTGACCACTGGCGTGGGGAAAAAGGCAGCACTATATGTGACCCAGGGTCCGAACTAGACAGTGCACTAGGACTGTTGCTACGCAGATTGTGGCCCAAAATTCTGCATTTTCACTACTGTGACACAGTTGGGCGGAGTCTGAGGTGGATGAACTCTTCGTTGCAGATCATATGTTTCTTGTCTGCAATCAAGATTTGTTATTCTACCGCGGTTGTGTGCTCGGACGCATGCAATTGGATACTGACTTGGTTCGTTTTGCAGGTTGCAGGAGCCGGGAAACAACTCTCTCATGGGTGACAGACACGAGGTGATTACACAGCCAATTCCACGTGCTTGCAGATCCCTTCTACTGGTCGACACCGGTGCGTTTCCCAACCATTTCTCCAAAGTCGTAGCGTGCATGCTTATGTGACTCCCAGGAAGTACTCGGGCACCATATCGCTGCACATCCATCCTGGAAAAATAGGCCTCGCATGAGACGCAGTTTGCCTGGATGGATGTGCCGCGAAACGACACTCCTGTACCTCCCGAGAGTCGCCGCAGCATGCACACTGCGACTCTGAAAAAAATGGCCGGTAAACGTACTGGTGCTTTAATCACAATAATACCTAGTACCCTCTTCCCCGGAACATAGCGCACCCTCATCACAAATGCATACAAGGTATCCCTCATCACAAATGTATACAAGGTATCCCTCATCACAAATGTATACAAGGTATCCCTCATCACAAATGTATACAAGGTATCTTACACTTTCCATTCTGATACAGTCATAAGGAGAGTGTGTTGCATTCAGAGGAAGACAATGGTACCATACCTTGCCTGTTACACTGAATGATGGACTTTGGGACATCCCAGCAAGAGACCATGGTTGCAGTGGTGCTGTGGGCCCAGCTATAGGCCTGAGTCTTTCGACTATCGACCGTTCAAGTTCGGCATGTGGGACCAGGTCGTCGACCAGACCTCAAAGGCCGGATAATAGTCCAGTCCGGTACCAAAGTCGGTACCAGTCAGTCCAATCTGGTCAGTCGGCAAGGGGTATACCCAAGCAGCAGTCACTTTGTGAGTCTTGGAGTATCTTGTGATGAACCAATTCCTGTTCCGCGCGACTTTCTGTGCGATGACAATGAGGGGTCCTGAGACGGGAAGGATGGGCCAATTACGGGAGATCGGGATCGAAGGGAAATTGCATCGGTGTCCTCACTTTTTCGTCTTTTCTCTTTCGTCGCTTCTTTTCAGATGGCTGGGTTCAGGGCCGCGCAAGTCCCAAGATGGCCGATTGAGTGGCTGTCGCGCCGACGAAGGCGCGAATAATAATGTTTGATGTCGCTCCTCTCTTGTTCTGTTGTCGGGTTTTAGGCGCGGAGGTCGTGCGGGAAGTTTTGCTGCTTTTGAATTTCTTTTTCGAATCTTGTCGAGCCTTTACGGCTCTCGGAATTTCGGACTTTCTTTTCGGAATTTGCGCTTTATTTAAAGTCCATTTTGCAATAAGTTTAGGAATTTAGGAATTTCGGAATTCGGGATTTCTTTTCGCCGCGCGTTGGTTTTCTTGCGCGCTTTTTTTTGGGGATGCAACGTAGCTCTGATTAGTCGGCGCCCTTAATCGTGTGTGTAACCGTAATTTTGGGCAGGGCGCCATTGTAACTGTATCCTTCTTCTTGAGCTTCGTCTTTCCCGCTCTCTCCTTTTCTTTTTGTTGTGGCTGTCTAGCCCGCGGGCTGCATGATCGGATTGATGCGTTGAGAGTGGCTACGTCCCCCACGCCGCGGTCTGGCCATGCAAAACGTAGGCGCTCCCTCTCCTAATCTCCTTTCTGGGTCCTTGCAATTCCGTGTTCTTCGCGCATGCATGCACGCTATAAATTCCGGCTGCGCGATAAGATAGCTCTCTTAATCAGTTGTTGGAAGCTCTGGGTAGCGCGATCAGTGAGGGTCGGCTCACGAGCAAAGTAAGAGGTGAGTTGAAGTGGGAGTCGGGCGACCCGACGGGCTGGTGCCGAATGCGCGGGGTTGACGCGTGGGGCTACGACGGACTGTAGCGCACGGGCGAACCTGACGGGTGCAGGAGGACTAAGCGGGGTGACGACTTCGTGGGTTGGTGTGTGACAACGGACTGTCCGCATTGGGAGAGAGAGAGAGAGGAAGAGGGAGCTGAGGTTGATGGACGTGGATTTGCAATTTTTTTGTCTCGTCCCCCTCTTTGCTTTTGTATATAAATTTTGGTTTCGGTTTGAGCGATTCGCTCTCATTTCTCTTCGGCACATCTGGTTCGATACTGGTCCTTGTATGATGTCCCGTTTTGTCTCGGTCTTCCCGCTTTTGCATGTATGGGATGGACGAATTTGGATTGTCGTTTTTGCATAGTTGCCGTAATTGCTTTCATTATTGCTCGTCACTTTGATCCGCTGTTGCCCTGATGATGCTGCGATGACAGATGGGTAATGACACCTTGCATGCTCGGAAATGATTGCTGAGTGATTAGATGATTGGGTAGCATCCCGAACAGGGGACGATCTTTGCATAAGGGATTAAAATCTCACTTTGATAGCCGATAGGCCTAGGTGTACGCGAACACCTCGCGTGGATACTCGTAAGCGCGATCGGAATTGCGCCGCCTACACGTGTCCACACGTGGCGATCGGACGGGCAGGGAATTTTCCTTCCTTTATGCACCTAAAGATAGAAGGATTTCTCGACACCCTTTTGGGAAATTCCCCCGCCAGTCAGACATGCACGGAGGGATTCCACTACCCCGCAATGACAAGATGCCGAGCTCCTGGGACTCGGAGTACTTCGACACTTGGGTGAGAGAATGTATTAGGCAAAGATACCCGGAATTCCCCTGCCTAACCGAGAATCGATTGTGCCCCAGGGAGTTTCACTGTGCCATAACCAGTGATCCAAGGTGCCCCGATTTTCCCACTACGGATAAGACGCAACACTTCATATCCCCCGGCTTCGTCGTTATCGCTACCAATTTCCCTCCCTTCCGTCTCCTCCTTCCATATCACCAACTCACAGTGGTTCCGTGGAATTCCATCGCCTCGTATTGGCCCCGCACGCCTTGCGGAAATTGTCGGCGATGCGGCAACCGACGAGCCTCTGAAACTACGGGGCTTAACCAAAACGCGCGACGACAGACGCCACGTGCCTGCACCCGAAGGTCCGACTCATCAGAATCACAACCATCCTGGGCGGGCTTCTCCCCGAACCGCCGCCACCAAAACAGACGGATTGGACGGCCTTGAATGCACCACCCATGTCATCTGCCTTATGCTGCATGACCTAAACCGCCATCAGACCGGAAGTAACTCGCCCCCTTAGCTCTATTGCATCTATGCCCCTGAAACTTTGCCACAGGAGATCTCAGTTCCAACCTGGGACTCCACCCCCACTTTCCCCAAAAATCCTTGGCACACCCCTTTTCGCACTTCCAGGCCCACATCCCACTCCGATCAGGAAGTCGCGCCGGGCGTGAGGTTGGGCGTCACAATCTCGTATACAGGGTGGGTGTGAGGTGTGTGCTGTCACTGATGTGTGTTGTTGCCTCCATGCTTGACAGCATTCCTTCTCTATCACCATCACCATCACCATCACCATCTGCACCATCACCTCTCTCTCTCTCTCTCTCTCTCTCTCTCTCTCTCTCTCTCTCTCTCTCTCTCTCTCTCTCTCTCTCTCTCTCTCTCTCTCTCTCTCGTCTTCTG